AGGACATAGCCTTTGGGTATCGTATAGTGAGCAGACCCGAGTTATGGCTCGTTGGCAATCAGACCACCTCTCTTAGTGAAATCATACACATTCGTTGCGTTGCATGGACTACAAATCCTGCGGATCGATCTATTGCCGAGATGCAGTTGAACCCACCAGTACCGCCCAAGAATTCTGTGAGAGTCACCACCAATGCAACTAGACGGGGAGGCGTGATTATCCGCACGGTGGACCAACGCCAACTTGCAACACAAAATGTCAGCTCTGATGAAGTCGGCTGCATAATGCAGGATAGGCTAAGCAAAGAAAAACACCGCCTTGTTCGGGGACCACAGGTTGTGTGTAGACAGCCTGATGATATAGGGGCATTACCGGACTACATTGGTTCTTATCCACGTAATGCAGTGGTTTCATGTGTGGCATCACCCACCTGCTACGATCTTCGGCTGCGATGGCAGTGGGTGGCCGGCCCTGTTCCGCAAATCACAGTTGAAGTGGAAAATCTAGAAATTGTGAAATACAGTGAAGGAAACCGCTTGTTCCTATCGTCCTTGCGTCGGAGTGGTACTTACATATTCAGCTGCATTGCACAGTGTCACTGCGACAGTGAGCAATTTACAGTAGTGCATCATCAGCGTATCAATCTCGAACCTAGCAAGGATTCGCTGGAGGATCATTGGTTCTCGCAGACTAAGCATGAAGATGAGCGAATGGAATCAGATAAAGAGAAATTTGAAAGAGTTCGGTCCTCGATGGAGTCACCAGAAACATTTACTAAACCGTGGGAGAGAGAGATAACGTCGATGTCTGTTGATGAATTTAGTTACCAAAAACCAGGGCAAGCAGAAGTCTCGGAGAAAGCTGCGGCTGAACGCGCGGCGACAGCAGTTACCTCTGGATCACCAGAGAGCGAAACACGCTGTCTTGCTTTTCGGTTAATAAAACAAAGTGTTTTGGATGATTATCAACGATACACATTCTGTCGCATGAAGGATCAGTCAATGGGGGTCGTCTTCTCACGAGGTAAGTCTCATCAGCATAGTGAACCGCGTCTTCCTCCGCGGCAGTACCACCAGACCGTTCCACCAAGCATCGATGAACGGTTATGGTATGAAACACTCAAGCCGCCTTACCGTACCATTCTTTATCTCCGTGACGCAGTAGTGGGTTCCGACCGTGAAGTACTGTCACAACAGCAGCGTAAATATACGTCTGAGGTAGATAAACTACACCTTCTAGAGAGACGGAATTGGTGGATGTCCTCGGCATCATTACGTGAAATGTCCCGAATCAAGAATCAAGTTTCACTAATACAACTGGATCATCAAGAAGTGCAAAGAGTATGGACAGATAAAGAGACGCATCTTTTTCACGTTCGTCAAGGGCTACCCACCCAAAGACGACGAGTGTTATCACGAGTCTTACCAATTGATGAGAGGCCAGTGAGTACCGATTCGATGATGTTTCCACCGTTTGGCATCAGACCATCTTTCTTCGGATCTGGTGGAAGTTCCAAACACATGGAGGATAGTCGAACTACAAGAGAGAGAGAAAGGCGACGGTATATGTCACCGAAACGGGATCATCCAAATGTGAATCGGCGGACAAGGTTGGTAACGCGGTTGCAGCCGACTTGGACTCGGACCCCGTTAGACAGACGTGACTATATTGGTGGGATACATCCATCTGAAACGATGTCAGATGCAGACTTGGCGGTTGGGAGAAATTTGAACCAACCATTGAGTTGGGCTCAACAGGAGGAAGAGCGGAACCATTTTCTACGTATAATACCTGGATCCACTGAAGTCGGCGTTACTCATAAAAGGGGAACCAAACATTCATCGTCACGCCTTCCATCACGTATAACGAATGACACCGCAGGAAGGACGGTACTCAACCACCACCGGGTTGGCTTGCCACAATGGTCGTTCATTATTGGCTTAGACCAGTCCGGTGACTTCCAGTCACAGCTGGACACCCGGGAAAGGAAGTCTGACCATGACCCTACACAAAGATGGTATAATATGTACGCACATGAAGGGGAAGTGGATGAATCCCTAACCTTTTGGTGGCAGCAAGAAGGCCACCCAAAGTCTAAAGGTCGTAAGACTACTCTGCGTCGTGCACTATTGCACCCCGATGAATGGAGCACAAAGCACGTCCACGATCAAGCTGTTACATGGACACAATTTCTGCGTAGTCTACGTGAGTATGTGAACAAAAAATCACCATTATTTGGAAAACATGGTACACACCAGGAGAGCAAAGACCCCCGAACGTCATATGAGGTCACACTGCAACCAGATTTCGTGCGGCTGCCGGACAGCGTAACCGCCGTATGTCCAATCATGCCAACCGTGATAAGAGCCGATTACCAACTGATCGGTGTGAAATGGTATCGGTATCCCACACTGAATTCCATACGGGAACTCATTATGAGCGTCTCCTTAAGAAGTCGGTTTCTAAGTGGGGGTAAAAGTAAACTAGGTAGGACAAAACGATTTCTTGTCTATCCCCCATCCAAATGGCCAGATTCGTATACTCTAGATCTGCCAGATATTCAGTCACGCGACTACGGCTATTACGGATGTGCGAGTCAGTACCGACATGCGATTTCCGGTAGGCCAGATGTGGAAGTGGTCAAGCTCAGTCCCAAACCTCTGTGCATCGTTCCCCCACCAGTAAACCCAGTTTTAAGAATTGCCGAATTGACTGGTGACTCGGCACGATACATCCCTTCTGTCGGCCGGCTATTGATGAATTCAAGTGAGCATCAGCTGGGTGTCAGATCTAGGATGGAACATACGGGTCGCGAAAAGTGCTTCCAACCAGGGGATCATATTATTGTTCAATGTGCGATGAACCCGTACCATTTGTTTTGTGAAGCCGAAGACGAATTGTTATCCGGTTTACGATTAGTGGACACAATTATGAACGGCAGTATACATTTACAAGTAAGTCAAACCCAGTGGAGCAAAGTTGATCTGATGAAGTCCGTAATTCCGTCCTCAGTATTGTCCAGCCTCAAAAAAGCGGAGTATACAGGGCTTTCAGAAGAGTGGATGTTACGCCTGGAAGAGAAGCATGCAAATGCCATTTTAACTTGCGATTCAAAACCGAAGCTTCGCATACCGTTAGCCGGTAGGCTACGGTACTGGGATTGGCTTAGCAGACAATTTGAGATCCCGCGCATAATGCATCTGACCAGGAAGTCCAATGCGTTACAGCTGTGTGTAAACACCCAGGGGTCTGCAATCCATATTGACCCTAAACCCAGCAAACCTACACTCCATGAATCGTTTGGAAGACTATACATTCGACCACACCATACGATCAGTTGTACACTTTCAAGTCATTTCGATAAACAGATCAAATTTACAATTCTTTCCATTAAGCCGGGCAGCCTCACACAACCGGAGTCCAACGGCCAAACTGCACTCTCCCTCTGGCTCAGCCACCCACGCCTACGTGTGGTAGAATGGCCCCGTAGCTCCAGCAGCAGTCAGGTGAAAGTGTTCATACCGCCGGATAAGACAGCAGTCGGTCACTATCTTGCGATCTGCTCTGTAACAGGATCCAATATGAGCACGGTAAGTCATTACTGGATGATTGATCACACGGTTAACAAACGTTTACGGTGTAGCCATCAGAACCATGCCACCAAAAACATTGATTTGCCATGAGCGCACAATCCCTGACGTGGCCGCAATAACAACAGCACTGGCACCAGAGCATCCAATAAACTGCGATTAAGACTCATTTGACTAACGTCTCCACTGTGTACACGAACTGGTAGTTAACCCGTTAAAATATTAGCTCAATCGGGGTGAAACACTGTTCTGAAAGCAAATTCGGTACTTTGTGTTCATACACAAATAGTCCATGCCAAGATATGTGGGAGAATCACAATAACACGCAGGGGTTGAGGTGCACCATCCATGCACTTGCGCAAATAAGCACCTTGATAGCTGAAGAAATTCACATTAATGCGTTTGCCAACGTAGGTGAGTATCAGGTGAGTATCAACAAAGCGCCGGTGTGTCGTAGCGACGCTTCGCTATTACGCGAACATTACCAGCAGTCGCTTATTGACCGGGGATACTGCGCGCCACCCACAACGATATAGACTCGAATTGTGGATTACCAAGAAGGCGTCTTATCTGTTGACCGGGAGTACGTAGCTGATCCATATTCAGAGGCGATTGCACAGCTGGTTGGAATTATGGCCAGGGGAGATCTAGGTGGTCATGACAAGGAGAGCGGCCAAATGCTGCAGCACCTGATGATCATTGTACTCATGTATCCGCCGATTTAAATTCCTGCTAAAATCCAAAGTAGCATACTACAGCGCATAGTGTGTGTTTAGCAGAGGATGACGAACGATGGCGGGCATCAATCCTCCAATAGGCAAACTTAGGTGTGGGGCAATAGCCTCTAGGCTGAAGGCCACTCATCCGGTATATGACCACTTGGATGTCACGTGTCCCAGTGGCGCTCTATCTGGTTGATCGCAGGGCGGATGTTGAGTAACTTGAGACCCGTCCGAGGTAGGTATCCACCAAAACGTAAGGGTGTTATTTCCACACAGCCACATCGAGTCTACATGGTGAATTGACTTACATTTACGAGGGTAGCAGCAATGAGGTCCGTATAACGGCTGCTCAACTGTATAAAGTTAGGAGGAGACAACCGGCCTCTCCCAGGAATACTACTTCGTCTTGTTAACTAACCAGCCATCTTGTCTAGTTCGGTCCCGCTGCGGTTGTAAAACGATCCACTCAACTTAAGTTACTTTCCTCAGCGTAAATTTCCGCTGCTGTCGCATTGGTTCGTAACACAGAAATTGCATCATGAATATAATATGCAATCGCCTTGCAGGAAGGCGTCACGGTTCATTTAGGTCATTAGGCATGGAGTTATAAATATCTATCGTCTCTTTGCTACCCGAACTCTTGTAACCTAGTAGGGCAGAAAAACGGAACAAATTAAGGATACTAAATCTTTATCACGAAACGGAAGTTGGTGTTGTAGTTCTCAAATAACCGCAGAGGCAATCGCATTAACTTGCACACTAATGGCAAAAGTATTGAGTTCTCTTCACACACCGTTGTTATTTTTGATTGTGTTGCTACACCATTCTGCACCACAGAATACTTGGTTAATTTTCAGTCATCTCTAGGAGCATACGTATTGTAGCGAGAACGAGCGCTAGGGACGCACAGTCTTTATTGTCAACGCACAACGGGTTCATAGGTTAGCATGCACGCATGCAGTTATGGAGGACATCTCCTGACCACCACTCATCACCTCCTTTCACTCGGTGTTGCATTCATGCCCCGACTTCAGCCGATGTGTGCAGCCGCTGCTCGCCCATTTTCCCTCGTATCTGCGCTTCCGCACCTTCTATTCTGACCGAGCTGGATTCGTTCTAATGCCCTTGATTTGTGTACTCGGGACTGAGACGCTCTCCACGTGGTTAGTCCTGGCGGCGCGGTCAAACGCGCCGGGCTGTCCACAACTACGCCCCCCCCCGCACTTCTCGGTCTGAGCCTGACATCGTTTGTCGTTGTTGACTATTTTCAGCTTTTTCCGTAGGCCTCGAGCTACTTTGTCTACTTTGCTTCCTGGTGTCCTCGTGACTTTTCATCTTTCTTAGTTTTCGCGGCTTGTCCGTCCCGCCCGTGATCCTTGGCTTCCGTGCAATTACAGTATGGTACCAGCAAGTTGGGTGTTACTGACCCTTGGCACTAAACTTAACTACTTTTCCTGGCTATCTTTCCAAGTAATTTTATTAACCGGCTGTAGTGCGACGTGGAACACAGGATTGGGAGACTGAACCCATGAATGTACTTTCACTGAAAAATTCTTTCAATACACCAACACAACATGTCGCATTATTTAGACAGACCATCTATTTCGTTGGAAGTACGAATGTGATCAACGATGGGGTTCATGTGCAGCCACAAAGCCAACAAATGAGTCTCCGGTGATTGGATTTGTGCCAACGAAGAACGCACACTTAAAACGGGTGCTACATTCATTCTCACCGGATCACCGAACACAAGGCGGCCGTCGGAAGACATGATCCACACTCTTTGGTTTCTGCGCATGCAGATCAAGTAGGCCACCATTTCGATTTAGAGAATGTAAAGATCCTAGCACATGGAAGTACAAAACACGCGAGGGAGTGTTTGGAAGCCTTGTACTCTACAACGAATTTACTCAATCGAAACATCGAACTGGACTCAGTATACGCAACATTCAAGTTCAAGTTCAAGTTCAAGTTCAAGCGGGACTGGAACGATAGGATAGATCCCGTGAGTGTTCCTTCTTCGGCGGGTCGTTGAACCAGGAGTTGGCGAACTTTGAAATACTGATGGACCTAAAACCAAGACCGCATCACACCCTGTCCAACCAATTAATGCCCACGTATCCCGCCCTAGCAGTGCCTGCTGGGTCGGTTACGTGAAGTAAGAAAGAGAAAAAAGTAAACGCAGGAGGCAAAAGAGAAAGTGATAAGAGCTAAGCAAATGGAATACCAAGATATTTGAGTCAATAAAAAAAGAACTGAAAAATGAAGGTGAGTCAGCTAGGAAAAAGGAAAGGTTTGCTGTTGCCACCCAAGAGCATCGAGCTGGCGCGCAAAACCCTTAACCGTAGGTTCCCTAACCACGTGATCTGGAAGAGAATTCCAGCGATCTATAACTCGGCGCGATAGACGAGTTTCCGTCCTAATCCTATCAGACCGTGGTTTATGCAGCTTCAGTGGGTGACCGCGGAGACTAGGTAACGTAGCGGGACTAAAAAGCCCTGACAAGTCCGGGCCAATCTTACCCGTCAAAATACGATAAGTGAGAATCAGGTCCCCTCTTATCCTTCGGTAGTGCATGGAGTACATCCCCAAACTGAGCAAGCGTTCAGGATACGTCTGTCCCCGTAGACCCTGCACTAACCGAGTGCCCACTCGTAACACCCTCTCCAAGTCCATTTTGTCTCGGTTAAGACATGGTGGACAAGCCTGAATACAATATTCCAGGTGGGGTCGGACGAATGCCGAAAATAGCTTCACAAACAACTTGGCCGTTAAGATTCCGAAGGAGCGGCGGATAAACCACATCATACGAAACCCTCGACAAGCAGCCTTCTTCCAGTTGTCTCCAGAATGAAGTGCTGATGCGTGTACGACTCCTAAATCAACCTGCTGAGTGACAACAGGGAGTTCACCACCGCCGAGAACATATCGGGTGGGAGGATTAGCAGCTCCGATTCGGAGAACAGAGCACTTGGCCCTATTTATGGGCATCAACCATAAGATAGACCATTCCCAGAGTATATCCAAGGCACGCTGAATTGCCTCAGGACCCCCCGGGATATCCACAATATTCCAGAGCTTAAGGTCGTCAGCAAACATTAATGATGACACCCCTAGCTCTCCCGGCAAGTCATTTACATAGATCGCGAACAACAATGGCCCCAATACCGAGCCCTGCGGAACGCCACTAAGGACAGCTTGCCTGAGCGAAAGGCTACGCCCCACCCGTACGCACTGTTCCCTCCCCTCAAGGAAGGCAGACACCCATTGAAGGGCGCGACCAGATATCCCGTAAGATCTCAACTTTAGTGAGAGCCGAAGATGTGGAACAGTGTCAAAAGCTTTCGAAAAATCTACGAATAGCACGTCTACAGCGTGGCCACTGTCTACCGCTTCGGCCCAGCTTTCACGAGCTACAAGTAAATTAGTCTGACATGAAAATCCTTTGCGGAATCCATGTTGTGCAACACTGAGAAGGTTGAATCGATTCAGGTGGTTCTCCACTGAATCCCTTATCAGCTTCTCGAACAATTTGACTACTACGCTTGTCAAACTGACAGGCCGGTAGTTCGCGGGTAGAGCGCTGTCACCGCCCTTAAAAATCGGAGAGATGATTGCCTCCTTCCATTCCGAAGGTAGGCTGCAGCTGTCCAGCGATATTGAAAATACGCACGTGAGCGGACCACTCAGCTCAGTGGCCAGTTCATGCAACAGCTTCGGATGAATTGAATCAGGACCGGAAGCTTTAGAGGGATTAATGCCTTGCAGTAGCTCGAAGACCTGAGTCTCCGTTATGCTAAATTCAGCTAAGCAAGAATCCTCTGGAACTCTTGAAACCAATTCAACCTGCGGTAAAGAGGTCTCCCGAGCAAAGACCGCAGTATACTGATCACTCAGTATACAAGCCTTGTCATAGTCAGTTTGCGCAGGGGTCCCGTCTGCTCGCAATAAAGCTGGTATAGACAATTTTGCCCCGCTGCGTCTTTTAACGTAAGCAAAAAACTTCTTGGGATTAGCTGCGGCCGAGTCCGCTAAACCCTGCTCGTATTGGAGACGAGCAGTTCTGAGATGTTGCTTACATTTATTTCTATTCTCTCGATAACTATCATAGGTACTGGCTGATGGAGCTGCTTGGTAGGTTCGCCAGCATCTAGACCGTTTCTTGAGTAGGTACTTGCCTGTGGTATCTATCCATGGAGGCTGTGCCCTTAACCCTCTTTTCCTAATGAGTGGAATATAGGGTGCGGAAACCTCCGTAAGGTATGCCTTAAATTTATCCCAGGCTAACTGGACAGAGTCAGCCATCGAAATCTCACAGTTCAGAACTGAAGCCTTAGTTCGCATTGCACTAAAGTCCGCCCGCCAAATATTCGGAAGTAATTCAACAGCGGTCTCTTGGTGCCTTGAAAGAGCACATCGAAAGGATATGCATACGTGATCGCTGGACCCTAGAGGTGCACCGCATGAAACGTCAGTCACGAAGTCCAGGGACTTAGCGAAAACCAAATCCAAAGTAGATGGCATTTGGTTGTCCATATACCTAGTGGGAAAGTCAACGAACTGGTGCAAAGGCACTTGGAGAGTCAGTTCAAGGAAGTCTGCACCGAATGTTCCTAATGCCGAATTGCAAGAAAGATCGGCCCAACAGACTTCCGGGAGGTTGAAATCCCCTAGAACTAAACACTTATTCGCAGACTGAGTGCGAATAAAGTCAAGTATCCCCCTGGAGGAACTTCCAGGACTTCTGTATACCACTATAACTGTAAACTGGGTAGAGGAAGTGCACAAAACAGCCGATAGGGCTTCAACAGTCTGATCCGACGACTGGAATGTGCAAGTCCTCAACACATCTAAGTTACAGCTCACATACAGTACAACGCCTCCGCCTTGGCGACCAACGGAGCGATCAGTTCTAAGCAGCGCGTAGCCAGGTAAATATACCTCACCGTCCGTGATATCCGGAGACAACCACGTCTCAGTGAAAGCAAGTATGTCGGGACGAGATTTGTCTACAAGTAGACCCAACTCGTGCACCTTGTTCCTTAGGCTACGCACGTTGCTAAGTACTACCTCAAGGAAGTCGGCACGACCATCCCTGGGTCGTGCGCCATCAGGATTGGTTCTGATAGGGCGGAAAGTAATTTCCGGCTGACCACCTGAAAACCCACCAGACGGAGGCCTTGCTCACCAGCCGCCCGTCTAGTTTTGAGGTCTTTAATAGCCTCCTTTAACTTCAACCTATCTGCCAGTGGGAGGTCCGGCTGAACGCTGACACCACTACCCTTAAGTTTGAATGCAAATCGCAGTAACGATTTGCGTTCCTCCGGGGTAGAAAGGACTACGCGAAGTAGTCGGGGTCGTGGATTTGGCGTAGCGATAGGAACGTTCCCCAATCTGGTCAGCTTTCTGACAGTGACACCAGGGAAACCAGGTGGAAGC